CACGATCGATCCCACTATCGGTCTCACTAGCGATCTCACTGTCGATCTCACTATCGGTTTCGTCATCGGTCTCACCATCGTTTTCGCACCAGCGGGACACCGGGACACCGGCGGGACACCGGCGGGACACAGCGCGCCACCGCTTGCCGGAGGGAGAAACATTTGGTCCGGCCGGGGCCCAGCCACAAGCGGGACACCGGCGGGACACCGCGCGCCACCGCCTGCCGGAGGGAGAATGATTTGGTCTGGCCGCGCCTCAGCCACAGGAGGCTTTCCTCTCGGCCGCCAACGCAGCTTCGCCTCGCCCGCACGCACGGCACGCACGAACACGAAACCGAAACCGATTCCCCAGTGGGGGACTCTCCGTCCCACTTCGATCTCACCCCCCAACCTCCGACTTACGCTGTCTTCTCCATGCATTCGCCGTCCTCCGCCTCGTTCTACTTCCGCCGACTTCCGCTATCGATCGTCGTGGCGAAATTCAAGAAACTCTCATTTGGCCGATGTATACATACATGGACATTGCAAGAGCGGACAGGAGTTGCCCAGAGTTGGCAGGAAATGAAGCGACAACTCCTGAGCGATTGGGTAACATCAACATCGGCTGCCACCATGTCAATCCTCGCGTGGGTTGAGGTCAAGGCCAAAATCATACATAACTAAACCATCATTAGAGTCCGAATCATGTTGGCTGGGCAGGAAATAGTTTGGTCCATGAAGTTTCTCTGTCGTGCTGCGGCACTGCAGGGCAATCGCAGAAATCTCGCTCGCGGACTAAAACTTCATCGTACCCCCGTGGCAAATAGCACTGGTTTCTTGTTATGAATCAGCGTAGGTATGGATAAACTCGATGTACTTGTCGTGCTACTCCGATACCAATGCGTTTGATTGAGGCAGCACGCACCCAAGGAAGAACGTACCATATATTTTGTCCCAGCTACCGGTATCTTCAAACCGCACAAAGCAAAACACCATGCGCTTGTTGCAGAACGCGCTCCACATGAGCAGGTGTGTGAATGCATCTAGTCTGCATGGGTGATCCAGTCCAAATTAGTTGCGTTGGATTAGTATCGCTGGAGCCAATCATCGATACAGCCCTCCCTGAGACTGCGAAAGTGCTCCTGAAGCTCTACGACAATTTTGTATCGCACTGCCTTCTCAAATTCAGCATGTCTGAAATGCTGGAAACAGGCAGCAAGATGACGGGTGAACCGGTTTCGACTCGTTGTGCTAACCCAAGCATTGCTCCCGCTTGGCAACTTCTCAATCAAACCCTGCGCAACTGAATACTGTTTTTTGAATCCTGGTGGGTGCAAGGCAAGTGCCATTCGCGTATTTATTCCGCTTCTGGTCGTTTCCCCGAATGGTTAAGCTTGCCTGGTGCAAACTGCTGGCTAATTGAAGCCACTTTCCCGTAATCCCACCAGCCCTTTGGGAGACAGGTGGTCTAACGAGGGTCTCTTTCTTCTTCCACAGCCCCTCTTCCCTTCGGGGAGGGGAACCCTCCCCCTCCCCTCCCTGAGGTTTTTTTGGAGGAGGCGGTCAGACGGCCAAGATGGCCGCTAAGACGACCAAGGTGGCCCCAGATGTGCCCGAGAGGCTTCCCAGATGGACCCAGAGGAATCCAAGAGGTTCTCCAGGAAGGCCCGAAGGAGCCAAAATCACTGTTGGCCCTTAGGTTTTTGAAAGATGTGTTTTTTTCCTCCGTTTTGGTGCTCCGACCGCCCAAGACGGCCCAAGGAGTCCCCAAAATCGTCCCAGAGGCCTCCAAGATGGTTCCAGAACGGTCCAAGAGGCCCCCAAGCCAGCCCCAAGAGGGCCCCACGACGGCCCAAGAGGCATCCAAGACGGCAGAAATATCCCCAAGAGAGCCGAAGGTGGCCCAAGAGGCGCCCAAGATGGCTCCAAGATGGCCTAAGACTTGCCTCCTAGAGCTCCACCAGGAAGGCCCGAAGAGGCCAAAATCATTGATTTCCCTTTAGTTTTTGAAGAATTTGGGCATTTTCTCTTTTTCAGCTCTCCGATGGCCCAAGACGGCACAAGAGGCCCCCAACATCGCCCCAAGAGTGCCCAAGAGACCTCCACTATGGCCCTATGACAGCCCAAGAGGCCACCAAGAGGGCCCCCAAAAGAACCCAAGACGGCCCAAGATGGCCCCGAAGACGCCGAAGAAGGCCTCCAAGACGGCCTCCAAGATGCCTCCAAGACGGCCAAGAAGGCTTCCAAGACGTCGAAGATGGCCCCAAGATGCACCCAAGACGGCCCCAGATGGCCTGAAGATGGCCCGCCAGAGGCCTCCAAGACGGCCCAAGACCCCTCCAAGACGTCCTCCAGGAGGCCCGAAGCTCGGAAACCACCTGGTCCGATGGCTCGCCCGACTCCGTGTTCCCCGAATGCTTTCGAAACCCACTCGGGGAACGCGTGGCCCGATAACTAGGCCAAGCTCAAACCCAACTTTCGGCCACGCAGGCGCTTCCAAAAAGGCAGGGGGCGGGGGTGATTCGCCGTAGGCATCTTCGATCCGCCGCCCCCTGTTGGCTTGCCACAGGGGTGCCCGGCGTGCTAGATCCTTTCGATTTTGGTTTTGGTTCTTTTCCAAAAGAACTCCCCCCTGGGGCTTCGGCCGATCCCGCCAGGGTCCCGGAAAGGCCCCGAAACCACCTAAATGACCGCGATCAATTCTCCAAGACAGCTCAAGCTAAGATGGTCACGTTGGCCTAAGATGGCCTCCAAGATGGCCTCCAAGTCGCCAAAGATGGTCCCAGATGGCTTCCAAGACTGCCCGAGAGAGTCCAAGATGCCTTCAAGTTCGTCCAAGAAGCCTCCAAGACGACCCAAGATGGCTCCAAGATGGCCTGAGACTGGCCAAGAGGCCTCCGAGAGCCCTCCAAGACGTCCTCCAGGAAGGCCCGACAGGGTTAAAACTATTGATTTTCCGATCAGTTTTGGAAGGATTGTAGCATTTTCTTCTTATCAGCTCCCCGATGGCCCAAGACGGCACAAGACGCCCCCAACATCGTCCCAAGAGCGCCCAAGAGGCCTCCAAGATGGCCCCATGAAAGCCCAAGAGGCCACCAAGAGGGCCCCAAAAAGAACCCAAGACGGCCCAAGATGGCCCCGAAGACGCCGAAGAAGGCCTCCAAGACGGCCAAGATGGCCTCCAAGATGCCCCCAAGACGGCCAAGAAGGCCTCCAAGACGGCGAAGATGGCCCCCAAATGCACCCAAGACGGCCCCAGATGACCGGAATATTGCCTCCAAGACGGCCCAAGAGGCCCGGCCCACGACCCCTCCAAGACGTCCTCCAGGAGGCACGGAAGCTCGGAAACCACCTGGTCCGATAGCTCGCCCGACTCCGTGTTCCCCGAATGCTTTCGAAACCCACTCGGGGAACGCGTGGCCTGATAGCTTGGCCAAGCTCAAACCCAACTTTCGGCCACGCAGGCGTTTCCAAAAGGGCAGGGGGCGGCGGTGATTCGCCGTGGGCGTCTTCGATCCGCCGCCCCCTGTTGATTCGTCACAAGGGTGCCCGGCGTGCTGAAGCCTTTCGCTTTTTTTTCTTTCCAAGAAAACTCCCCCCAAGGTTTCGGCCCAGCCCGCGGGGGTCCCGGAATGGCCCTGAAAGGGTGGTTCCAAAAGTTTGTCCTGCTCCAGATGGCTCCAAGATAGCTTCCAAGATGGCCCACGATGGTCCAAGATGGCCTCCAAGACGGCCCAAGAGAGCCCAAGATACCTTCAAGTACGCCCAAGAAACCTCTCAGACGGCCCAAGAGGCCACCAAGAGGTCCTCCAGGAGGGCCCGAAGAGACCACATTCATTGATGTTCCTTTGGTTTTGGAAGAATTGTGGCATTTGCTTCTTCTCGGTATTCCGACGGCTCAAGACAGCCCAAGAGGCCCCCGAGATCGCTCCAAGATCACGCTCGAGGCCTCCAATATGGCCCCATGACGGCCCAAAAAGCTCCCAAGACGGCCTTAAGGGGGCCCCGAGAGGCCTCCAAGACGGCCAAGATGGCCTCCAAGATGGCTCAGATGGCCCGAACATGCCTCCAAGACGGCCCAAGATGCACCAAAAACGGCCTAAGATGGCCTCAAGATGGCCCAAGACGGCCCAAGAGAGCCCCCAAGATGCGGCGTCGGCGACTGAGTCGCCAGGATCTCGGGGGCTCGGCGATCCGCGCCTGCGGCGACCGTGCGCAAGGTCTCGGTCAGCTCCCCTCTAACGGGGACTCCACTAACGGGCACTTTGGCCAGTGACCCGGCGAACCCAACCCTCCCCGATGTAGGTAGGCAACGCTGCAATGCCATAGAGAGAGGTCCTAAGGTGGCAACTTTCGGGAAATCTCCAAAGTACCCGTCCCAGACATGCGACGTCCTGATTCTTTCGGGACGGCGCCCCTAGAAGTCCAGACCCTTTCCTGCGGGGCCCGGCTCCTCCTCCTGCTTCGTCTCCTGACGGTGACGGCGGTGACGGTCCCGCGGCCTGGCGAGGGCCCCCCGAGGCCGAAGTCTGCCAACAACCCGCCGTCCTGGCTGGTCTCACGACGCGACCATGCCCTGGGGCGAGTTACTCACCCCAGGGCATGAAAACGGATCGCAAGACGCATCGCAAAACGCACCGAAAACGGCGAGACGGCAATCCCAGAACGGAAAAAAAAACGGAGCCCCAAACAGAGAAACACGTCGATCTTGAAAACGGAAAAAAACACGCCCCCAGCGTTTCTAAGAACATCGAAGGGTGAGCACCCGCTGCGGTGCCGCTGGTTTGGACGCCCGAAATGGGCACGGAAAGAATGGGCCCGATGCCCAACAACAAATGTTGTCCCAAACCAACAGCGGCCGCTGTTGGACAGGCGGCCTTCTGTCTCGAATGGACACAGGCCGCGGCGGCGTGGACAGCGGATCTTGTTCAAAATGAGCAGGAACTGCTGTTGGGCATAGTGCCCATTCTTTCCGTGCCCATTTCGGGCGTCCAGAGCTTGCTCGGGCCGGGCGCGCCGTCCTCCTCGGCTCGGCCGGCGCCCGCCGCCTGCGCGCGGGGGGGCAGCAGGCGCAGGGCCAGGCAGGCGGCGCCCGCGCCCAGCAGGAAAACCGCCGCGCACCTCTCGGGGCGGGGCGGCCCACCCGCCGAGCCGCCACGCCGGCACTAGGGAGCCCACAAAGGACGTACGCGCCCAACTATGTACATGAACACGGCCCCTCGATACGCGAGACTGGCCGCGTGATACGAATATTTGCGTAATGCACACTCTCGAAAACAGCGTGGATTCATGTACGTGTACGTCCTTCTTTCGCTCCTGAAGCACAGAGGCCTCCGAGAGGGGGGGTCCGAGTGCCCAGAGAGGCCCCCTTCTCGCGGCACGCAGGAGCATCGCGACGGGAGGCTCTCGGCTGCTTCTGGCCTCGGGGGGCCTCGACCGGGCCTCGGGAGCGTCAAAGGACGACTCAGGAAGAAAAAAACCTGTCCCGGGGAGTGGGTCCAGACCTCCGGGTGTCGACGCTGTGGAAAAATCACGACGTCGGGGGTCTGGGTAGATGGGGGCGGAGGGTCCTGCCGCATCGGGGATGCGTCGGCGATGCATCGGCGACGTGTCGGTGGCACATCGGCAACGCCTGCATGGAGAAGATCGGGCCCCGCAGCGAGCTGCATCGCCGATGCATCGGCGATGTGGCGCGATCCTCCGACCCCATCTGATTACTCGGACCCCATCCAGGAGGCCCAGACATGCCGCCAACCCCTTCCCTTCCCCCTGAGACCCTGGCGACTCGATTGTTTCGAGCTGGGCGTAGTCGCTCCGTTGTTCGAGCCCCGGGACCCTCGCGGATCGATGCGGCCAGAAGAATGGCGCAGGAAGGTGGGGTCCAGGGGTTGATTTGGACGAGCTCTCGTTGCCGCAAGAAGCCGTTAGTGCGATGCTCGGGGCAACCGCCCTTTTGGCACCAAAATCGCAGAATTGAGGAGGAAGCACCTCCCCAATGACACTGCGGGGAACTCATTCCCACCTGGGGGTCCAGGGGTCCGGTCGTGATGTTTTGCGATGTTGCATTGTTGTGCAACGTCGGATCTCAGGGCCCCCCTGCTGCAGGGGTGGGTGGGGAGGAGGGCCAGGGGGGGGAGGGGAGAGGAGGAAGGGGGGGGAAAGGAGAAGGAGGGGGGAGGGAAGGAGGGGAGGAGGGAAGGAGGAGGGGGAGGAGGGAGGGAGGGGAAAGGGGGGAAGGATGGGGGAAGGAGGAGGGGGAGGGGGAAGGAGGGAGGGGGGAGGGGGGACGGAAGGGGGAAGGAGGAGGTGGAGGGGGGAGGAGGGGGGAGGGGAGAGGAGGGGGAAGGGGAGAGGAGGGCCAGGGGGGAGGGAGCGCGGCCGCCGCCGCCGATCTGCCATGATTGAAGAAAAAACAGGGCGCCTAACTCTTTGGGAGGAGGTCTTAATCGGGAGGGCCCAAAACGTTAGGGACAGGGGGTCTTTTTCTGCAGATGTCTGAAGCCAAACCGCCCAGATGGAGGATCCCCAATACCAGGACGGGGACCTCAGTGAGGCCACGTCTTTCAAACGTTCTTAGGGTCAGGGCTCTCTCGCCCCCCCCCCCCCCCCCCTCTCCCTCTGCTGCAGGGAGGAGGGAGAGGGCCAGGGGAAGGGGAGGAAACAAGAGCGCCGTTCTCCGGGGCCGCTCCGTGTTTCGGGGGAGGCCCCCCTGTCCCCACTTCCCCTCCCACAACAGTGTAGCGCCAGGGAGGAGGATGGAGAGAGGAGGAGGAGGAGGAGGGAGGAGGGAGGAGGGAGAGGAGGAGGAGTCGAAGGTGGAGGAGGAGGAGGAAGGAGGAAGGAGGAGGAGGAGGAGAGGAGGAGGAGGAGGAGGAGGAGGGAGGGGGAGGAGAGGAGGAGGAGAGGAGGAGGAGGAGGAGGAGGGAAGGAGGAGGGGGGGGGGGGCAACGGAGAGGGAGGAGGGATCACGGCAAGGGCCCCTCCCTCCCCCCACCCCCCCCCGCTCTGCCTGCCAACCGCTGCGCCGCCCGTCTCCCTCAATCTCCCGTGCCGTGGAGGTCGACGTCGGCAGTGGCTCTCCTCCTCCTCCTCCTCCTCCACCTCACGTCCTCCTCCTCCTCCTCCTCCTCCTCCTCCTCCTCCTCCTCCCCCTCCTCCTCCTCCTCCGTCCTCCTCCTCCTCCTCCTCCTCCTCCTCCTCCTCCTCCTCCCCCCCCGCTCCTCCCTCCTCCCTTACCCCCTTTTGTCCCTCCCTTCTCACGAGTTTCTCCTCCTCCTCCTCTCCTCCTTCCTCCTCCTACCTCCTCCTCCTCCTCCTCCTCCCTCCTCCTCCTCCTCCCTCCTCCCCTCCTCCTCTCCTCCTCCTCCCCTCCCCCGCCTCCTCCTCCTCCCCTCCTCCTCCTCCTCCTCCTCCTCCACCTCCTCCCTCCTCCTCCTCCCCTCCTCCTTCCCCTCCTCCTCCTCCTGCTCCTCCTCCTCCTCCTCCTCCTCCTCCTCCTCCTCCTCCTCCTCGCGGCGCCCTGCGGCGGCGGCGATGCCTGCTCACCCGGGGAGGGAGGAGCTCGGTGGTTCAAAGATGGGGCCTGGAGAGATGGGGCCCCAAGGATAGGAAGGGGTCCAAGGGGGAGTCTGCATGATTGGAGGCACCTCGTCCTGAAGACCCCATCCCGCAGGACCCAATCGCTGAACCACCGAGAGGAGGAGGGCGACGAGGAGATGCCACCAGCGGAGAGGCCGCTCCAACGGCGGCGGCTTGAGCCGCGCTGGGCAGTCGGCCTGCAGCCCGCTTCAACCCGCCTGAGCTCATGCAAGGGCTGCGGCGTCTCCTTCGAAAATGGAGAACTGCAGTTGGGGCAGCAAAGATAGGGGAAGATGGAAGTGTGTACCGCGTGCGGCGCCAGCAGTGAGAAACGCACGCAGTCTCTCCACGACTAAACGCATGCCGATGATAATAAAGGGACCCCCCTTCAGTGTTTAGAGTTGATTATCGTCGCCCTATACAAAATTCAAGTTGGGCGGCGAGCGCTGAGGCCGAACTTCATTATCACCTCGAAACGCTATGTTGAGATAGCAACATCAAGCGATGTTGATATAGCAACATCAAGCGAAGCGATCACACTTTTTCAGGATGTGTCAAGCGAAACCAATAATTTTGGGAGGCAGACTCAAACGAAACGAGCAATGTTCCAAGGATGTCTCAAGGATGTTTCAAGCTAAACCAGCAAGTTTTTTCTTTTTGTTTTTATTTTTAGTATCTTCCTTTTTATATATGTATATATCCCCGCGCGCGCGCCTGAACTTTTTTATCTCTGGGGTTGACTATCCATGGAAAGGGGAGCACATGAGCTACCCTACATGAGCACTTAAAACATTAATTTTCATAAAGCGTTTGTGAATTAAAACTGATAGATTTGGAACTGTCCATTTTTCCGTTATTCTTCTCTTCTTCTTCTTCTCTTATTCTCTTCTTATTATTCTTCTACTTTCCTCTTCTTATTTTATATTTCTATCTGTCCTCACGCTCGCCTGAACTTTTTTATCCCTGGGGTTGATTATCCATGGAAAATGAAGCACGTGAGCTACCCTACACGAGCACTTTAAAAAATTCAATTTTCATAAAGCGCTTGTACATTTAAATTGATAGATTTGGAACTTTGGATGTTTCCTTTCTTCGTCCTCTCCTTATTCTCCTCTTCTTCTTCTTTCTTATTATTCTTCTACTGTATTCTTCTTCTTTTATATTTCTCTCTGTCCCCTCTGCTCTCTCTTATGTAACGCCAAGGATGTCTCAAAACGTGCTCGGCTTGGTCTCCTCTTGATCATCTCTTACTTCGAGATTATGCTGAGGTCTGCTGGGCTACTTTTATTATCTCTCCCTGAACCCCGAACTTTATTATCCCCTAGTGTTTATTCTCACGGGCATGAGGTTAGCCATGCCGCCGAAGGACACGAGGAGGCGACGCGTGCGGTATTGGCCCAGATGCCGGCGCCACGCACGCAACAGCAGGCGCGGGATGAGGCGGCAGCCAGCCTGTTACCGCCGCCGCTTCCCCAGAACTGGGACAGCGACGTGCTCCACAACCGCGGGTGCCGACAGCGCCTCCCATGGCCTGCGGCCGTGCACACTGGAACCCCGACCTTCGTGCAAGTGCCAGATCGGTTCCGGGGCGCCTTGCGCCCGCCCCCGCCTTCAGCTCTTGGAAGCGCTGGCGGCGGCAGCCGTGAGGGGGGAGTCTGAGCAGGAGTGGCACGCGCTGCGCCGCTCCGACGCTCTGCTCACGGCACACCCGGCCGGCCCGGCCATCAACGCCAAGGCTCTCGAGGAGCGCCTGGCTCAAGCCGGGATGGCCCAAGCGTGCTGTTCAGGAGCCGACTTCGCAGTCATAAGCTTTAGGCCGGTGCTCAAGCCGGGCACGCAGAGCTACAGACAATAACGCACACAGTCTGGCGCACAACGCTGGGGTGCGTGATTGCGCAGGCGACGATAAAGAAACAGCACTATCACATCGATTTGCGTCTGCATGTGAAGTTTGTGAAATGTGGACGCTCACATACGTGCAGGAGGTGCGGTCCCTCTAGGAACGGAGCTGTGACGCCGTGGCACCGAGAAATCGAAGCGAGACAAAAGAAAATTCGAGCTGATCATGGGACAAGACGAACGAGGGAAAAGCACCACGATGAGAAGAAGACTAAGAGCATACGCGAGAAACGAGGGACTACACACGTAATAGCATCACTGTGGCTTCAACGAAAGATTGCGAAACTGATTGAACGAATTGTTCGTGGCCCGTGTGTCCACTGTCGTTCTACGACAGACGAGCCATTCTCATCACATCCTAGTTTTCTAGGCTGGTTTTGATGCTTCCCTTGAACACTTCTCTTCAGGTAGCAGAACTGGTCGTTCAAGAACCAGCGGTTGGCGAACCACCTTAGGAGATCGTGATGCACCATGTTGGAGAAAGAATAGCGGCATCTCCTTCTTCATCAACATTGTGAGCATACCCTTTGCTGCCTTTGCGAATCGTGATTCTGGTGTCGGCATGCTCGCTGTCGCAATCCCCTGTTGCCTGCACGAAGTCCCCCGGGCTCACTGTGCGCACCTCTGCCCAGCTGGTCGCCTTC